ATCATCCCTCAATATCCTGTTTAGTATGAGGGTGAAACGGGTCGTCCTCATACCTCGTCCGGTATGAAGCAACGTTCACGGTAGAGTTCCCTATGTACCTGATCCGTCCACCATCTCCCAAGATATCTAGTAAGGCTACCATTTATTCATTCACTTAATCAAATAAATTTTCCGTTTATCTTTAATTTCCAGTTTCCTAATTTAATTGTAAATCACTTAAAACAAGCAACACATGCATTAAGAAAATGCAATCGAATCATCATATCAATTCTAGTGTATTATCATGTATTCAAAACTGTAAAATCAATCAATCAGTTCAACATGACAAACAATAATAAATAACCGGTTTTAGCTTCATTAGTAATATTTAATTATTGATAATTTTAAATTACACAAAATACCATATTATTTATAATTAAACTTCAATTCCACAATAGAGAATAAGGTGAGAAATTTTTACTCGGATCGGTGTTCAAAACGCTAAACTTATAGCTGTACCTACTGGCGGTACTCAGGTTTCCTGAATTTTCATTCGGTGATTAAAATACGTTCCAAGTACCTAGCAATACCCTAAACAAATCTAAAATTAGTGTTAGAAATTCTTTTCGGCCAATTTTGAAATTCCGGCATGGCGCTGCCACTGCACACCAACGACGACACCGCCGTCCGCAGTGGCGGTTTACCTTGAGCTGGCGGTCGAAAAATAGAAGCTTATCGATGGCAGGGTTTTTCGGTGTGGCAGCTCTGCCGACTCACCTTCGCGGTTGGATGTTTTACTTTGGTCAACCTATAGAAAAAGGAATGATGATTACAATAGTGAAAAAATTGCACGAAGTGGGAATCAGGAAGGGCTTCATCGGATGCGATTTTTTATTTTTTTGCAGCGGCGCCGCCGGGCTTTACCCGTAATTTTTGGCTTATACACCGATTTTTTTGCTCTGATTCGGCCATGGAGGTGTTCAAAATCGAATTTCAAATTAACGAAATTTTTTTTACCTCTTTTGGCGGTCGGAGGTGGCTTCGGCACAGCGACCGGCGACTGTCGCCTCCTTTCTCGGTTACTGGTTCTTTTTCTCCGGTGGAGGGGGTTGGTGGCTAGAGTTAGGGTTTGGTGTGAAATAAGGTATTTATATCCGTCTCCTTTTAGTTTGGACCGTCTTTCACGTTTGATTTGGACCGTCCGATCGCATTTAAATAGGAAGTGAATCTGGACCGTTCATCACGATTTGATCTAGACCGTCCAATCGTATTTAAATAGAAAGTGAATATAGACCGTTCATCGTGATTTGATATGGACCATATGATCATGTTTAAAAGGGGAACGGATCTGGACTGTCCACATGTGCGGGAACGAATCTGGACCGTCCGATCACGGTCATGCGAATTGCCAGGGTGGCCTTTCGGGTGGCATTGCACCAGCGTGCCTTGCCAGGCGGCACGCTTCGATTCGTCGGGGCTATTGACTGGGCATC